AATGCAGTGATTATATTGTGTCATTATCATTCCCATTTTGCAACTGAGAATCCTCAGGGACCTGTGAGAGGTTAGGTAAATTGCCCAATTTTATGCCATAGCCACTCATTCTGGTTTCTGTGCAAGGAAGATTAGCTCCGGTTCTACTCTCCCAGTGACTTGCACACTGCCTCTCTGATGCTTAAACCTACCACCTGAATGCAATATGCATCAACCCAAACCCCAAGAGGTCCATCTTTTATGAACTTGCAGTGACTGAGTAATATGCAGATACTGCTCAAGTTTTAAAATGCTACCAAGCGCCTCATTATGCTCAGCATTTCACTTGACAATAGCACAAGCCAGGTAGGGTTTAGCACACTTGAGAATGCACAGTGGACCCCATTGTCATGCAGCTCCATTCCCCTCTCTCCCTGAGGCAGGGGTCTGATCCTCCAGCACCATTCCATTTACGTCAAAGACAACGTCAATCCCATGGGAAAAAAAAAAAAAAAAAACCTGAATGACTCAGAGCTGTGCTCTAGGGAGCTCATCGCTGTGTAATCTGATATATAACATCCTAATTTCATAGAGCATTTTTCATATCTGCTACTAAAATCATAATCGAATCCATTAAATTCTTTTAAAAGATCCAATTTAAAGCAATATTGAAAGCAGTCATAAGAAGCAGGTAAGGTAGCATCCGACCCACTCAAACCAGCTCTGTCATTAGCTGTTACCTGGATTGCCTCTGAATGTATCTGTCTGAGTTTATTGATCCACTCAAGGTTGCTCTGCATTTGTATTTCTAGGTGCATTTAAGTCAGTGGTAGGTTACTTAACAAACTTGAGAGTCTGCAGAAAAGAATAAATCAGAATGCAGAGGAGGAAACAGAAATTTTCCTCTGCCCTGTGAGCAGCAAAACTGGAAAGAAGGGGGCAAGGAAGAACTGAGACCTGGGTTGAGGGACAGCATTGTCATATAGATTAGGATCTCCACAGAAAGGAGTGATGGCAAGAAACAGGACCACCTACCTAAGTCCTTCATGGAGTAGCACACGACTGAGAAACTGAGCCAGATGAATTTCCCCTGCCACACTGCCATCCCTTATACTTCCAGCTAATTTATTTAGGGTAAGAATTATTTTATTCCTGGGATATATGCAAAACCAAATAAAATCCCTCAGAGTTTTGCTTCTTTTTGTTTTCCCTACTATTCCATGCTTCTGTGGGTTTGCAAAGTTAGCCCTCCACATATATTTTTGTTTAGAACACAAAGTAAAATTAAAAAGAGAGTTGGAGGCAGGCAGATGATTGCTTGTGAAGTTTACTTCCAGACGTGAGAGTGACCTTCTAGAAGAAGCATAGGCCTCCAGGCCTGAGTTCTCTCCAACCTTGTCCACAGAGTAACTGTATAGTACATGAGTTAGTGCACAAGGGAGAGGCCGCCTTTGAGCCTCAGTTTTCCTATATGAGGAATAAGATTGACTAGAATCTCAAGGTTCTTTTGAATTCTAATATTGTGATCCTTAAATCACATAATGGAAGAAGATAGCTATAGGGACAAGCGGTGTCCATCTGGCTGCCCAACAGCCAGCGCCCAATGTCCCCAAGCAGACTCCTTGTATATCTTTGGTCCACACTTCTTACACAGTGTTTCTTCTGGTTTACCCATTGTGAAACTGCTAAAAATGACAGTGCTCAGCACTGTTCCTCCCCTAGTTCTTTTAAAAATCATTTCTGTTTTTTGTTTTTGTTTTTTGAGACAGGGTCTCCCTGTAGCCCCAGCTGGCCTGGAACTCGCTATGTAGGCCAGGCTGGCCTTGACCTCATAGAGATCCACCTGCCTCTGCCTCCCAAGTGCTGGGATTAAAGGCGTGCACCACCACGCCCAGCAAACAAAAACAAAAACAAAAAAAAACATTTCTTTCTTTCAGGATGGAAAATGAATTACTGGTTTGTAATCCATAATCACTGTGGTAGTGTCTCTGATACTTGCTTTCAGACCCTCAAAAATCGTTAATTGTGCCACTTGTGTAACAAGAATCAAGGCACTGCTTTTCAGTCAAGCTAACGTCATCTATAGTAGACATGATTTTACAGGTGTGGTCTAGCGGCTTTCACTGATTGGTGGATGTGAAGCAGATGTGCCATGTTGCTATTTAGGGTTGTCTGACAGCAGCAATAGGTAGGTTTCTCAATAATCACAGAACCACTAGTTTCTACTATCGCCACAGTCTTACACCCAGCTAGTAGTCATTTTCAAGTCTCTCCATTTTATTTATTCAGTTCAAGTGTCGGTGTAGCCACTGCAGTCCTGGATATGGGATTGCTATGCTATGTTTAAAGCCAAGATTCTAATACCAAAGGAACCATATGTATCTACAACTGAGATGAGCTCCTTCTTTGGGTGATTTTTGTCATTTACTAAGCAAAGTTGTTATTAAACCAGCCAGTCATGAAACCATCTGTGAAGTAATTTGTTCTACAGTTTTCAACAAGTCTTCCTTTCTTCCACCGCCTCTAACAAGCATATGGAATCTATGTTGGAGAGTTGAATTTCCTAGACTAGTCCCATCAAGCATGATTTCATAATTCTTAAAGCATATCTCTAAGGTATTAACATCTTGTAGTATTAACTTTTTTGACACACACTCAGTCGGAATGGACCTCTAGTACCCTGGGCGTCAGAACACTAGAATAATCAAGGCAGTCCATCAAGCAACTGTGGAGACGAGGGCACGCTGCTCCAATTTTCTGAGCTTCGGGAGAGGAAACAAGCTACCCGTTTGTTGTCTCATGGGGCTGTAATGAGGAACAAATGAGGTGGCATATGTGATAACACTTTGCATTGTAAAGCATGCAGTCCAAGTAAGAGACAGAAAAGATGTAAGGCATGCATGAACTGTGGTATTTTTAATTATATTATTGCTTTCATCTGTGTGGTGTTCTGCATTTTTTTTATATGTAAACAGAGATTGTGAGGTTGACTTTCTCCCAGTTATCACAACTAATGAACTCTTAATGGGCAGCTGCAAATATAGATTTTATTGGATGGAGGAAATTAAAGTGAAGAAGGAGTTTTTTTCCCTCCACTGGTATGTAAAAAGGAGAGACTACTAATTAGAAAACATCTAGCTGTTCTTTGTATGTGTTTAAGTGCCCTGATTCCTCCAAGTATTCATTCTTCATTCAAGTATAGGAAATGAAAAGTCATAGGAAATGAAAAGTCAAGCCTTCTGCAAATATTGTCATTCAGAGATGTGTCTGCCGAGCAAAAAGTACATTTAATTTTATTTGTTAGAATCATTTGCCAAGTGCTCAGTTTCATAAATGAGAGAGACACCACACCTGAGGCGCTCCCTGTTTGGGTTTTATAAGATGTTTAGAGCACATCTTTAAAACAATGTTACAAAAAGGAATTGCCTTAGCTAATGATGGTGTAAGAAATTGTTTTCTATTAGTACAAGCACATATTAGTTTTCTGTAACTCAGCCATTTATTTTTAATAACTTAAATCCAGAAGCACTTAATAATTAATTTCTTGAAAATGACTTAACTTTTACAAAAACTTTATTGACAATTTCATACTTGCATATAAGATGTTTTGATCAAATCCATGCCCACTCCCTCCCCTCCAACATTCCCCCACCTCTGAAGAGGTAACCCTAAAATATTTTAAGGATTAGATACAAACTCCCAAATACTTTTGACATTTTGATATTGATTGCCTTTGGAACAGAATTTGTTGCTAACATTGACTTTCATTCTGAAGAGATGAAATAGAATTAATCATCAAACTACTTTATTTCCAAGAAGTGATCATGCATACCTATGTAAGGAGTAGTTACATTCCAAATAAATATTTTTCTTTAATCAATACCTACACTACTACCTCAATAGGTGCATTCATGGCTAACCTCCCTCCTCCCCTGTAGACAGCTAACAAAATTAAAGGTGTTAAGAGACAGACTAAAGAGTACCAAATGGTACTCAGTACCCTTTATTAGCCTATGTCTGTCCTCCTACCCTTTCTTCCCCCTTCTTCCTCCTCTTAGATGGTTTGGTTTGGGTTTTAGGGGCAGGGTCTCACTGTTACCCAGATTGGTCTTGAATTCATGGTGACCCTCATGTCTCAGCTTCCAAATTCTGGGCTGGCAAGCATGCTCTGCCCTGCCCAGCCTCGGCCACTGCTCCTGCTGATGCTTTTGCTTCTTCCTTCCCTCCCTTTTTTCCTCTCTTACTCATTGTCTTTTTCTTTTTCGCTTAGAGTCTTTTCATTTTAAGATAAACATTTTTCTGTAGAAAACCAGTATGATTTCTGGTGAGGAGAGGTGTTCAGTGAAAGAAATGAGACAAGGGCATCAACAAATAGCTTGAAATGTAAACTTGGAAGCTAATAAAAGAGAACTGTCACCTTGCTCTATTCATGGTGGCAGCAAGTTATATGGTGCTTGTGGCTGAACTACTGTGTGTTTGTGTAGCCTGATCTTGTTCTGTTTCCTTAGCTACCTTAAATTTGCTGGGATTAAATAAATTCTGCTCTAGTCTTTTACAGGGTCCAAAGAAGAACATGTTAGATTTTCAGACACTGTTACATTAAGACCAAAGTGGTCCAACCTATTAGTGAATTTTTCTGCAGAAGAGTTGTGCTCATGGTCACCTTCTGTTACTTATACTTGATCTTGGAAATTGAACCCCCATCATCCTTAGGGTTTCTAAGCTCTCCCAACACTCTGACAATTTTCTCTCATAACTGTAGTAATCAAACACTCCAACAGCATGCCCATAAGCAAATGCAAATCCGTGCTTTTTTATAATTATGTCACAAGAAGGCTTTATGCTCTTTGGTGTTAGATTTTTGATGTTACCTGTGGAGCACCAGACAGGCTGTAAAAATTGTCCCCTGTCCCCTGGTATCACTGATAACCTTGGGATTTTGTTTTCCATGTCTATGGCCTCTTTACCAATCTGTTCCAAAGTGTTTTCTCACAGACTGTTTTGCAATGTTCTTTCCCTAGACTTGAATGAAGCAGTCCCAGAGACAGAGCGCCTGGATTCTAAAGCACTGAAAACTCGGGCCCAGCTCTCTGTGAAGAACAGGCGCCAGAGGCCCACAAGGACAAGGCTCTATGACAGCGTCAGCTCAACAGATGGGGAGGACAGCCTAGAACGGAAGGTGAGCTGTCTTGCCCATTGTCAGAAGTGCTGGGCTGCATCATTTTTCTCCAGTGTCCTGAACATAGTAACTGTTTTACTGCTGGAGTCTGTGTGCCCTACTCAGTAACAACTGGAATAGTTCATGTCTTTATCTCCTGAATGCTTATGCAATTTGATATATTGTTGTCATTTAAATTATTTTCTCTATTTATTCAACAAGCTATCCAGAAGCATTACCCGTATTGCAATATTTCATGATGGTGCCTTTGATATTCAGCTGTTTGTTTTCATCTAGTGGGAAATAATGAACATTCAAGCAATCGTTTCTATATGTCTTAGGTATCTGTGTTAGCTTCATTGTTTATTTGGTAAATAATTATATACTGTGTATTCTCAGCAATAAGCCAACAAACAGTTCCTTTTACTAAAAAATGACTGGTCTGTTTCAAAGTAAGTATTGCACAGAACCGATACTCAGTGGCATAACCTCCTTTACAACCTCTTATATCAACAGCCTTCAAACACTCTCTATAACCATATGCATGTTACCAAATCACTTCCACTCAAGGGTCGGAGAAGCTCTTCCCCAGAGTCAGATTCTGGTGTTCCACCCCTCACCCCTGTGACTAGCCATGGGTCCTTCTCCTCTGACCGCATGGCTGAGTTTCAAGAAGAACCACTGCATCCAGAGACAGGGCCTTGCTCCTCTGTCTCAGGAGATACTTCACCTTCCTCTCCCTCAAAGTCTGATCACGATACTGAAGAATCTTCTTGGCACCATCAAGCCACCAAGAAAACATTACAAGGCAAAGGTATTGTGATTTTTTTTATTATCCCATTTCTGTTTTGTCTGACTTCACTAATGCTTCAATTTGTGTACTATAAAATGGATTTTTCTCTTGGTCTTAAAGCCTTTATCCTCTCACAGCTGACAGTATTGGCTTTCTTTGCTCTTAGGGGATAAGAGAACCCCCCACTCCCAAGTGTCTTGTTTTATTTGTTGTAAATTTTTCTTATCAGTTTGATATTTTAATCTTTTCAATTCTCTACAGGTTTACTACTGAAGATAATTTTATTTATTAAGTTTTGGTAGCTGTCTAAAGATTTTGTAGACTAACAGCCTAGAGTTTTCATAATCACAAACATAGTCCTACAGAGAAAGAATATGAAGATCAAAGTGATACAGGCCATCACCGAATGACTGATTTTTATTTTAAAAAGTTTTCACAATCGTGATTTGTATTATAAAGTGTCATAGAATCGCCATGATAAAGATAAATCAATCGAGTGTAGCCATTAAGCTTCAAAATAAGCTCCTAGAATTACAGTAGAATTTCATAGCAATGTTAATAGACCTGTCTTTTTAATTGCCTATTTCAGCATATAAAAAAAAAGGTTTGTTTCTAAATAAATTAAACAATGCAGAAAAATAAGTATAAATCATGGATTTTCCTCCTTTCAGATATATATTCCTTTAAAGTAACAAGGTAGAATTATATTGTCTTTTGTATTAGAAATGAAGAGCCAGGCATGGTTGCGCACGCCTTTAATCCCAGCACTCGGGAGGTAGAGGCAGGCGGATCTCTGTGAGTTCAAGGCCAGCCTGGTCTACACAGTGAGTTCCAGGACAGCTGGGGCTACAGGGAAACCTTGTCTTAAAAAGACCAAAAAAAGCCAGAGAGGCGATACCTTCAGTCGAGTTGTTGGCCAGGATAGATAAA